AAAAGCAATGTCAAACTGGCCAAAACACTCAATTTCAGTGGGGGTTGAATAATTTTGGCCACAACTGTAGCTGCAAAGGGTGGGCCAACTCAATATTGAACCCTACGGACTAAGACTGGGATGCCATTAACGTTCATGTGTGTGTAAAGGCAGGCATCTCAATACTTTTGGTAGTATAGTGTATATACACTCACCCGGCTACTTTATTACTTACATTCATTCAATTGCTTGGTAACACACATTGCTGATCAGCCAATCACATGGCAGCAACTCAATGCTTTTAGGCTTCTAGATATGGTGAAAACAACTTACTGACGTTCAAATCGAGCATTAGAATGGGGAAGAAAGGGAATTTAGGTGACTTTGACCATGGCATGGTTGTTGGTGCCAGATGGGCTTGTCTAAGTATTTCAAAAACTGTTGATCTACTGGGATTTTTACATACAACCATCTCTAGGAAAATCGAGACTCATCAGACCAGGCCAATTTTGGTGAGCCTGTGCAAATTGTAGTCTCTGTTTCCTGTTCTTAGCTGACAGGCGTGGCACCTGGTGTGGTCTTCTGCTGCTGTAGCCCATGTGCTTCAAGGTTCGACGTATTGTGCGTTTAGAGATGATATTCTGCATACCTTGGTTGTAACGAGTGGTTATTTGAGTTACTGTTGCCTTTCTATCATCTCAAACTAGCCTGTCCATTATCCTCTTACATCAGCAAGGCATTTTGTCCACACAACTGACGCTCACTGGATATTTTCTCTTTTTCTGACCATTCTCTGTAAACCTTAGAGATGGTTGTGCATGAAAATCCCAGTAGATCAGCAGTTTTTGAAATACTCAGTCCAGCCCATCAGGCACCAACAACCATTCCACGTTCAAAGTCACTTAAATCTCCTTTCTTCCCCATTCTGATGTTCAGTTTGAACTTGAATAAGCCGTCTTCATCACGTCTAGATGTCTAAATGCATTGAGTTGCTGCCTTGTGATTGGCTGATTAGCAATTTGTGTTACCAAGCAATTGAACAGCTTTTCCCTAATAAAGTGGCCGGCGAGTGTATATATACACACTGTCTCTGTAGGTGTCTGAATATTCAGGGACATTCACAGGTTGTGTTGTTGAAAATATTTGACTTGTATGTTACCTTAAAGTGTAACTCTACTTTTGCAGTCACGTTATGATAACATCTACTTTATATTTGTTACATGATCACATTCACATTTAGGAACAATGCAGGGGGTGGGGGTTGAGGTCTGTTTCAAATACCTAAACATTTTTGTATAATTTGTTTACAGGCTTGCTGTGTAAATGGGAAAACATAGTGAGTTTTTTTCAGAGTGGACTGCAAAAGGGGAAATAAACTTTAACATTAGTGTATTTGGTCATGTTCAACTTGACATTAAATATTGTAAAGTGTCTTGTATGGATTTTACTATTAACCACTTCCAGTCCGGACACTTTCACCCCCTTCCAGGCCAATTTTCAGCTTTCAGCGCTCCCACACTTTGAATGACAATTGCGCAGTCAAGCAAGACTGTACCCCTATGACTTTTTTAGCATTTTTTTGAGACAGATAAAGCTTTATTTTGGTGGTATTTATTCACCACTGGGATGTTTATTTTTTTTGCTATATAATTGAAAAAGTCCAAAAATTTTGAAAAAAGTGTTTTTCTTATAAAATTTTGCAAATAAATATTTCATCATAACTCTTGGCCAACATTTATTCCATTATCTTTTTAGCAAAAAAAAAAACAAATTAGTTTATAAACAAAAATTATCATTTATAAAAAAAATTTTTAACATCTTTTTTTATATATTATTTATGTTTTGTTTTTTTTTACATACTGTCACCCTAGCAGTACAGTGTCACCATGGTGACACTGTACTACCTGTGGGGGGTGATGAAGATTTTTTTTTTTTTTTACACTGGTTGCTTTTACACCCATAAAGGCTGTACAAGCAATCATTTCTCCTTCTCTCTGGCTGCATTCTTGCAGCCATTGAGAAATACTGTGTGAGCTGTGATTGGTCACAGCTTGTCACATGGTACAAGGCTGTTGTGAATAGCCTTGTACCATGTGACCTCTGTGATCATTCACAGATTTCACACATAGTAAGCAATGATGTCAGAAGTGACATCTTGCTTACTACTCTGCATGTGATCACTAATTGGCCAATCAGTGATCACATGATCGGGACCTCGCACAGAGGTTCCGTATGACGATCGGTGTTCCACTGTGTCCTCCGGACACAGTGGGCACCGGATCGCGGTGCTGCACGCTCCCAGAGAGCGTGCACAAGCAGGGGGTGGGGAGGCCGTCTATAAACGGCCACCCTCCCCTGCACTGCCACCTTTCGGACATTTATATACAATGGCCAGACGGGAGGTGGTTAATTTACATGTTACATTTTAATTCCATCTTTATTGGGGTTTGTTTTTTTTTGTGTACAAAAAAGTGTACAATAAAATTCAACAAACAAGCATGTACAAGTGATATTACCAAAAACACACAAAATAAAAAACAAAATCAAAACTACTTCAGGCATTCCAAAAATACAGGTAATCAGTACATGGGGCATGCCATCAAAAAGGTGAAACTTACATGGGGAGACACAAAGTCAGACAATATAATATCAGTAATTTACATCATTTTAATTAGTTCACCTTTCCTTTAGTGAGGTTTATTGAAAATGCAACAAAGATACTTTATGATTCAGATTAGTAAAAATGTCATGATGAGATTGTATGTATAAATCTGAAAAAATCGATACCACATCCATTAAGTTGGCTGATTCATTTTAATACCTTTATTAGCAAGCTAGAGTTCATTGCTTAGATGCAAACATTAACATTAATTCTCATGTCCGACTACTTGGAGACGAACATATATTTTCAGTAAAAATGTCATGATGAGATTGTTACATTCTGTGGTTTAATAAGCTTTGTTTAAGTTCATGCTATTCATAGCAGTATGTATATGTGTTATGCAAACCTTACTATATTTATTCCTGTTTTTGTAAGCTGAAGCAGCTGAATGTAAAATTAGATGTGGCAAGTCAAGAAGGACTGAATAAGGGGATACTGCAAGCTGAAGAGAGTTGCAAGTGCTTGGGTTAAAATATCACATTAGTGTTATTTATCTAATCAAATAAATAATATAATTGTGATTGTTTCAGCGGGGGATTGCGACTTCCTGGATAATACACACAAACCAGTTAATGTTTTAATATTGTGCTCCTGATTTAGAAACAAGTTCAAAATGAGAATATGTTAATAAAAGACAAAGAGCTTGCCTTAAGTGAAAAACCACACTTTAAAAACACTCAGTAGAGTCCAGAGATATAGACAGTTGAAGAGCTAAGAAAATCTCACTTTTTAAAATAAATATTGAACTTAGCCCCACCCCAATCCCAGTCTCTTTGTTGGTCATATTAATATGATGAGCGACCTTGTTGGCCTTAAGAATACCCTGTTTTATCTGTTGGACTGCTGCTGTTAAAGTATAACTAAAGGCTAAAGTTTTCTTTAGTTTTGGACAGAGTAGAGATAGATTAAAACACCTATTAGATTTTTATTGCTGTCTGTGCCCCTGTTAGGGAGAATCAGGGCTGCTGTTAGAAACCAGACAGCCTACCTGACAGGCCCCCCTCCCCAAAAAAACACAGTTTACTAGGCTTCAGTTATGAATGAACACAGTGAGCGATCGATACTGATTACTCCTTGTGTTCATTCAGGAAAAGAAGGGGCTGGTAAATATGACAAATTTACCGCACCCTTCCCCCACTCTCCATCCTGAAGGATCCTATTATGTTTTTGCAGCAGCCGGGCAGCAGGGAGAAACGCACAGGGAGGGTGATGGGTGCAGTAGGGGGTGGGGGCAATTACTGGAGCTGATCCCCTGTATGGCTCTCTCTGCAGCAGCTGAAAACTGGCAGGAGGAAGAGAAGAAGAAGCCAGCTTTCAGCTGCTGCAGAGAGAGCCATACAGGGGATTGGTTCCAGTAATTGCCCCCTCCCCCCATGCCGAACACCCTCCCTGCCCACATCTGATGCATCCTGCTGCCTGGGCCCCCCTGTGTGCACCAACCCCTTGGTGGGCCCCGTATAGGAGAATTGATGGTACGCCCTTATCCACAGCCCTGGGGAGAATCACCCTATTTGTTCACTGAAAGTAAAGGAATATCCCAAATGTTGGGTTGTCCCCAGAAAAGTAATAGAGGGAAAATCTTCCAATGGTGACACTAGTTCTAGTGACTTGGGGGGCCTCTCTTAATTTCAGGAGTTTTCTCTCGCTTCCTGGTTGGCTATGGAACAAAAAGTGAAGGGAAATCTCCCCAATGGTACACAGAAGGCGAAAAAAAAAAAAAAAAAAAAAAAAAACTGATAGGGGTTATAATTCTCCATTACTCTATCTAAAATGAAAAAAAAAAGTTTTGCCTAAAGTTCTACTTTAAGTACAGCACAACGATCACACCTTTCACCTCCAATCAACAGGGCTGCTCAGGGAGTAAGACTGTTGATTAATGCATTAAAAAAAGTAGGACTGCTGGAAAGGTAGGTTGTTGCTTGTAACTGAGAACAGCAGCCCAACTCTCCTATGTGCTGTAGTTAAAACAAAAAGAGACAAAAATATTTTCTACAGTATATGCAGTCTGACATCAATATAGCAATAAATAAGAGGATTAAATTGGTTCTTTATGCAAGAAAAAAAACAAAAAAATACACATTCATAAATAAGTGATATGATAATCTTAGACATAAGAATGTTTGCAGAATTGTTGGAATTGATGTCCAATAGCTTGTTATACAGACCGTCAAACAAACCACTAGGAATGACCCCTGAACTCTGAATTCTGCTATTATGGTGCCTTAAAAGAGAATGGGGTTGTATTTGAAAATTATCTACTTTGGGTCTGGAGCACTGCCATCTTTTCAACAAGAAGACGGATGCTGTGGAAACAAGTAACAATGTTTCATCTAAGAAATTGTGCACATTTCTTTCACAGTCTGACAGTCCCTATACAGAAAATGTCCCCAGTATAAAAATCCCAATGGACATCATGGAACAGGAGCCATTCTTATCTGATAGCAAACCCGGTGAGAGTGAGTAGATGTGACCTCTTGCATGCCACGTGTGACAAAAGCAGCCATTCTCTCACATTCTCCTTTCACGTACTAATCATTCTTTCCACTAATGTCTTGTCATTCTCTCAGCTTTATACTACAGTCTCCTTCATCTGTGCGTGTCCATATGTCTATATCATTTAATCAATTTTAATAATTAGCTGTGCTCCAGACAGATAAGACAAGCAATGTTTTCAACCAATTAAGAGTCTATCATAGCAGATTAATTCAAGCTGCTATAGCAACTTTACCTGACTATTTTAACTTTTGTGATCAGATATGTACCATATCTTGGACACCACATTTTACCCAAACATTTTTGGATTAAACCCCTATGACTTAGCTATGGGTGTTTTTGTGTGATACTGTATATAATATATATTATTTGGTCACTAGAGGGTCAGGCATCGCATCCTGAAACTATGCTCTGCTTCAGAAATTTAAAGTCTGTAGATTATAATCACAATTAGGACTTCTTTTGCACTGTACCATACCTGGAACCATATGTTTGGGGATCCCATTAAGGTCAAATGAGACACTTGTGATCTTGGAGCAATTACAGATCAGTGCATGCTTTATACCACCGTGCGTAGACAAGTGTGCTATCTATTCTTGCTTACAGACTCTTTGGGGTTTATTTACTAAAGCTGGAGAGTCCAAAATCAGACTCCCTTCTGCATAGAAACCAATCAGCTTCTAACCTCAGCTTGTTCAATGAAGGTTTGGCAATGAAACCTGGAAGCTGATTGGTTTGTATGCAGAAGGGAGTCTGATTTTGGACTCTCCAGCTTTAGTAAATAAACCCCTTTCTGTCCTAACATTCAATATCACATAATTCCATATTGTTATATATAAAACTCTTTATTTTAATGAGAGTAGCCATTTAACCACTTAAGCCAGATAAAGCAGAACCCAACAAACCCTTTTTACTACACAATGTCAAATCAGATCAGTGTAAATCATAGTAATACACTTAATGGATCTTAATGGGAAACCATTGAGAGTTTTAAATGAGTACACATTTATACTTATTTTTCACATATTTTACATGCATGCTACTCCATATTTGATGACTGCACCACAGATTTGTAAATTTTCTATTCAGTAGATATTTGTATTGCAGCAAAAATTAAACCACATTGATAGCCCTATTTTCCATTCATTCTGATCACTCTTAAAGACTTGCTGTCAGAGCCAGTACAATTATATTATACAGGATTTATATAGCGCCAACAGTTTACACAGCTCTTTTACAACATGAGAGCAGGCAGTACAGTTAAAATACAATTCAATACAAGTGGAATCAGAGGACCCTGCTCATTAGAGCTTACAATCTAAAAGTATAAAACAATTACTGTATAACATTACTTTGCAGAAAGCAGAGCATGCATATATAATAAAAATGTTGCTGCCCCATCACTTACAAATTGTATATGCATTAAGACAGTAACAATAACAGATGTATAAATCAAAGAAATAAAGATTAATTTAAAATGGCATGATGTCCTCTTTATGTTTCTCCAGGTATCTTTATGGTTATGCATTTTCTATTTCTTTTATTGCTTACTGTTTTGCCTGTATTAAAAAAAAAATATTTAATCTCATTAACATCTTGACTCTCTAATCATTATCACTGGGGTACAAATCTCAATTATCATGGTCCACCATCATTCTAATCAATAAGTGATTTTGTTCTATTCATCTATGTGTATATAATTGTATTCTTCTGGTTTTTTTTTTTCATTTTCAATCATGTCATAATTATTGTTATATTATGTTTTTGTGCATGTGTACATAATGTTATATGTTCCTCTCTTGTGATCTGTTCCATGTACACAACGTTCTGTGCATTGCTGAAAGCTGGTTGTTTCCATCTTTATTACAAGGACATTAGGAGGAGATCTGTGATGGGATTAAAGTATTAGTTGAGCTATGAGCTTATATGCATTGAAAGAATTTCGCAGTGGGCAGAAAAATAATTGGCCTGCCACAACCAGGCTACATATCTTATTTACAATATAGTTCCCATGTTATTAAGGACCAATTTGCAAATTCAGTTATCTTGTTTACCTTCTAAGCTATCCATGTGTAAGTTCACATTCATAAAAAAGCCAAGAAGAAGCTACGAGCTTTCACAATGACTTTCCCGTTCATATTTGTGATATGTGCCTTTGTACTATGCCAATAGGTTTAAGTCTTTTACTTTGATGTAATGTGAGTGCTTCTGTAAGTAAGTGCCTCTATAATGTAAGTGATGCTGAATATGTGATTTCAAGTGCATTTTATTATTCACTTGTCCTGTATGTGGTAAAATAAGTGATTTCTAACACAGACAATGTTTTATGTAGCAGGTATTATGAAATGTAATGGTAGAGCATACACTACATGGAAAAGACTGGTCATGAGAAAGAGAATTGAGCATTCCTGGGTTATACTACCAACTACAGAAGAAATAGAAACTAAGCTCATAGGAGTGTGAAGGTCAGCCCTTTTGAGGCTATAACCTCTCCAACCTCACACATTCACAGTTGTAGCTAGCAGTCCAAACAGAGAAATATGGCATTGGAGAGTGTAGAGTTGTGTCCCTCAATGTACTTTAGGAAAAGGATTTTACGGTGAGTATAAAAATCCAAATGGTTTTTTATCTTTCATTGAGGGACACAGCTAGAATAATTAAGCGACCTAGGGAAGTCTAAAAACATTCCAAACAGAGAGGTGGGAAAGGAAAAACCAAAGCAAAAGGGAAGCCAAGGGCATTAAACAGCCACTTGGAGAACCTAATTACTAAAACCTTACAGAACTTAGAATATGCTTATGCAGAGGACTAGGTCTCAGCCTTACTGATCTGAGAGAACCCAAAAAAGCATGCAGCGCCCTAATTCAGAAGGGTTTAATGGAAAAAGGAGACACTTTATCTCGCAATTCATAGTTCTGCACAATTTGTAGAATCCAATTAAAAATAGTGAACATGAAGACCCTCTTTTAGGCTTTTCTGGAATAAATAACAGTGAATCCATCTGTCTAAAAGAAGTAGTGATCAAGAGGGAAACCCTGATGACCCTCACCACCTGCAGGCAATAGAGAGAAATCTGGGTGAACCAGTGCCAGACACAGGGTGTCACGAACACTGATAGTGACCTCTAGTGGCCCACTGGCCGGAGTCCCCCAGGGTGCGGAGTCTAAGCCCAGGTCTGCTGGTTCACCAGAGCCCCTGATGGTGGGGATGGACTTGAAGCAGACCAGGACCAGGTCGCAACCCCTGAGTGACACCAACAGTGGTAAAGGCAACCGCCAATGGCGTGTAGCGGGTAGGAGCCAGATGTGAAGAGGTGTGACATGGTCAGGCAAGCCGGGTAGGTAACAGCGTGGCAGACGGTACAGATCGGTAGACAAAGCGTAATTGGGTCACAAGCCGGGTTCGGTAACAGGAGGTCAGACAAAAGGAGCAGGCAGAGGATGGTCAGGGCGAGCCAAAGGTCAGGACAGGAGAAGACAGCGGTATCAGGTCCAGGCAGGGTCAGCAACAAGGCAATCAGCATACAGGAAGAGCAGGAACACAGGAACAGGGAGAAGACCATCAGGCAACTTGTGTCTGTGCAGGGCTTGTTTAAGTAGCCCGCCCGGCGCTGACAGGTGCTCCTGGGTCCTAGTGCCTGACCAGCGCCGTCATAGGTGACAGGCGCGCCTAGGTCCTAGTGCCCGCCTGCCTGCATGTCTTGTCGGACACCTACGCATGTGCAGACTCATGCGTCGCGGTGGTCCCTGACACAGGGAAAGTAACACCAAGTGATTGTAAAGGTAGATTTTTTTTAATTATTATTAAATAACAAACATGTTATATTTATCAACTCTGTGAATTGATTTTGCACAAAGCAGTTCCAAACCTCCTCTTCTGGATTCCCTCGCTAGTAGTCTTGGCTCCTCTTCCATTCTGAGTGCCCACATAGCAAGCTGCGTGGACTTGATCCTGAGACGGGCTGCATATGTCTTTTAACACTAACATAGCATGGCTCAGCCCCACCCCCAACTCCGTCCTCACAGGGATTGATTGACAGCAGCAGGGGCCACTGATTCCCACTTCTGTCTCTGAGGCTGTAAGATTAGAGCAGTGCTGGATCGAGATCAAGCTCAGCTAAGTAATTTGGGCGCATGGGGGAAGGGGGGGAGCTGAAAATTAATAGTTTTTTTACCTTAATGTAGAGAATGTATTAATGTAAAACAAATCTTCAGCTTTTAAAGATAGAGACCACTTTGGATAAAAAAAGGAGGTCCTTGGTCTTAAAACCCCTTGAAAATTCAGAAATCCTTCTGGCTGAAGTTATGGCCACACAAAAGGCTACAATATGGGATAGTAACAGCAAAAAGATGTTCCAGATAAATTTGAATGGAGGATCCTGTAGCACCAACTAATAGCTTTGACTTCCACAGTGGGAGAAATGTGTGTAATCCCTTGTATAAAAGTTTGAGTTGCGAATAGTTAGCAAGAGGATGTTGAAAAAAACAGCCAGGGTAGAGACACCCAGCCTTGGAGGGTTCTAAGGTCCAAATGTTGTTCTACTTCCAACTGGAGGGAAAAAAAAGAACACAGTTGCCTAAAAAAGTACCAGAGAAGTAGAAGTAGAGGTAAATAGAAGTAAATTTACGAGCGCTTAGCATAGTTAGGATTACTAAATTTCAACTATGCCTGTATATCAAAACCTGATTATTAGCAGCCAAGTTGCCAGAGCTAGAGAACGAGAAGCAGGGTAGACAATCAATCCTTGGGATAACAGAGCTGACCAGTCAAGTAGATGTTACAGTGCTTCAGCTAACAGGAAAAACATGATCAACATATTAGATTTTCCTAGGACAATCTGGGGTTATAAGAATGATTAGAGTGCTTTCAGCCTCAGTCATGCAAAGTAGATTCTACAATGCTACTAAATTGCCTGTCAATTTTCCATCCCAAGAATGTGCACTGCAAAGACTGCTGAAAAATAAAGCTACATCTAGGACAGGATATACTCTACTTCTTGTACTTTTGCAGCACTCCTAGTGCCCTTCCTGATGAGTGATGTAAGCCACAGCTATGGCATTGCTTATATGAACTCGGACCAGATGACTGATTAGAAAGGAGTCCAGTGAAGCAATGACAAACAAATGCTTGCAACTCCAGGACGTTAATTGGAAGCTTCAATTTTCCCCCAGATCAACAACTTACAAACAGAGGGTCCAGAACTCCAGCCCAATCTAGAAGACTTTCATCCATCATGATGAGCTTCCATTGTATGGGGAAAAACAAATCTGTTCTCTGATGACACTGGAGACACCATTACCATGATAGGGACATCCTGGTTCGAGAATTTAATCAGCTCATTTTGGCCAAAAGAAGAATACATTTTGTTTTATGACGTGAAAATGTACTGTTGACAAGTGCTGGAGTGGAACTGAACTTCTTCTAAGGTCAATACCATCAATGCCAGAAAATATGTGCTGCTCCGCAGGAAAATCAACATCGAGATTGAAGTTTCTGAACCTGTCTTGTGGTTTTGTCAACTTTTCTGGCTACAGGAAGACCTTGGCCTCAAAGGTATCTGGTAAAAAACCTAAGCACTCCAACCCACATGATTGAATTACTGCTGACTTCTTGATGTTCAGGATCCATCTGAAGACCTCCAAAAGCTACATCATGATTAACAAATGGAGACCAATGTCAGGGAGGTCTGCTCCCACAGCAGCAGATGTTGGTCCAGATGTTTTTCATGACTAGAATGCCTCTGAGACAAAGAAGATCTGTAACTAGTGTGAAGACCTTTGTGAGCATTGCTGGGGCTAAGGGTAGGGCCACAAACTACAGAGGTTTTTACAAACAGTGAAGCAAAGAAATTGCTGAGGACCTTGAAAATTGAAATATGTAAATACACAATCTCAGTGGATGCTAATGTCATTGTATGTCATATAGGGGTTTATTTACTAAAGCTGGAGAGTCCAAAATCAGACTCCCTTCTGCATAGAAACCAATCAGCTTCCAGGTTTCATTGCCAAAGCTTCATTGAACAAGCTGAGGTTAGAAGCTGATTGGTTTCTATGCAGAAGGGAGTCTGATTTTGGACTCTCCAGCTTTAGTAAATAAACCCCATAATGTCTTTGAGATGAAGCAAAGCAATAACTGACCAGATTCTATTCAAAACGTTTGAGGATGCACAAAGGCATTGAGTGCCTTTAAATCCAAGATGGGATGAATGCCACCTTTGGGTTTAGAAGCTGTAACAGCTGTTTATGAATAAAAACATTTATGGCTGGGGAAACAAAAAAAATAACCCCATGAACAGCTGAAAATAGAACCATCTGACATTGATGAGAAACTGGTAGATGCATCGCAAAAGTATTAAAGTGGAATATGGAGGTGAAAGTTTATTTTTATATTATTTCCTATATCCATGCATCCTCTATTTGAGCTTCCCAAATCTCCACAAAAGCAATTTGATGTCCCCTAACCCCTGATAGAGCTGGTGGGGGTAGCAGTGTTGGACATATCCTTATGCTTTGGCTTGCCCTGATTGTTTAGAACCTGACATGAAGAAATGAAAAGACATTAAGATACAGGATAGGAAGGTGTTAGCCCACTCTGTCAATTGTAATCCTTTTAAAGCCTGGCATAAGTAAGCTTTATCACTGTTAGGGAAGGTTGTCAAGCTGCTTGTAGGGCAAAAATGCTAATTTCATTATCCTCATGAGTGGCAGGAGAGTAGTTTCTCTAGGTTTAGGTTTAGGAGATGCTAACACATACCTTGCAGCTGCTTCACCTCAGGGATCTGCATGGGCACTAAATACAGTGACTGTTAGATGTTGCATCAATAGTATTGAAGGTCAGGCTAGGAATATGACACTGGGTAGGCAGAGCCAGAGCAGCCAGAGGAGAGGAGCGGGATAGTGCTCTATAAACTGGCATCAGCAGATCCTGAATGAGTGAAGAAATGGCAGCAAATTTAAAAATGTAGGTTGAATTACCACAGTGCCTGGCCCCAGAGCCAAACAAACAGAAGTGTTTACCATCATGGTAATAGGCAGTGCCTATTGCCCATTTCTCATGCAGGCGGCAGTGTAACTCTACGTTGCTTAGCTATATCAACAAACTGTGTCTTCCTATAGAGAATAGAGGAATATTTATTTATTCACCAGAGTGTCTTGAACTACTACTCTTACTTTGTTTTTGTCTAGTAGGCACTTTTTATATATTTTATACTCACAAAGTCACTATTCATTGAAGTAGGAATGCTGCATAATCTTTGGGAAAATGGCTAATATTAATCTGAAAGTATACTGTCCTCATTTTACTAATAACCATATTTGTCATTACTTTGTAGCTATTTGTATAATCAAGTTGCAATTTTGTCTGTTTACCTATTTATGTATTTCATGCAGGAGAAAAGCCATTTACATTCCTTGAACGACACACATCATGCTGAAAGACTTCCATTTCTTCAGACACACAAACAAAGGTGAGTATTCTGTTGTACCGTGCATGCATTAACTAACTTTCTTTTCTTTCCAATTACAGGAGTAGTTTTTATTCATTGTGAAAGAAAAGTTTTGAACAGTAATAATTTTCAAACATGCCCTAGCAAAATGGTTGTTTCATGTGAGAAAATGACAATACTGATGCTTTGCATCCATGAAACTGTATGTGAGCAAATTTAATACTAAGTTAAGAGTAAAGAAAATAGTTTAGCCAGCTTTCCACACGGTTTTTCAAAATTTGGCTCTCATCTTTTCTTTTTTTTCCTCTGCATCTTTCTCTATCCATTTTCTGTTTTTTGGGTTTTTTTTTTTTTTTGATGCATCAGTCCCTGACTTGCAGTATGATTGTTTTGGGTACTGGAACCCTCCACCATAAATTTCAGTTCAGGGGGATTTTATTGCCATTAAAATTAACCCTTAGAGTAAAACCTGTGTGTGTTAACCCTGACAATGAACTTCTCTTATTTGCTTCATTTTGGTCCAGTCCTATGGTGACCAGCTGCTCCTCCTTATATACAGTAGGGTGAGTGATCATTGTTACTCTACGACAGGAATTATATTACTGGCAGATTCAGTAGGTAAAATAAAGTAAAAAAAGCATTAACAAAAAACGAATGTAGCTACCACATCTAAGGACTGGTAAGCTGCAATATATTACATTTTTTATTCTTAGGTTTAGATAAATGTTAAAGCTGAAATCCAGGTATGGATTATATAGCATAGTTACATTGGTCCTGCTTGGACCAATGCAAGTGTGAATATTCATTACCTGTGGGATCCCAGTGGATGCTGTAAATCAGTGTTGTAGTGTCTGCTACTATAGTGATCCTTGTTGTCTTCTGGGTGTCATGCCGAGTGACTGCCCTGCTGGGCATGGGCACCATTCCCAGGTAGGCATGGGCTCCATTCCCAGGTAGCCTTGCCCTTTTTAAAAAGAATGCAATGTATAAAATCCAAGCCTGGAATTCAGCTTTAATTATCATCCACTTGGATAAACTTTGCTTTTTGAGTACTATGCATGTGACTCTTTATATTTATATATCTATGTAACTCCACCTGTCTATTTTTTATCTTCCTACGTTCTCTGATATTTCAGTTTTGTAAAGTTCCCTCATTTAGGCAGTGTTTTTTTCTTTCTTGGAAACCAGGAAATGTCGGCATTAAGCTAGGAAATGTTGATGTGTGACACAGTGAAACTCTGCATTTGTTATATCTCTTCCAATTCCAGTTTCAATGCTAGATATTTTCACATAATGTTCTTCACATACTTTTCAATCATTGTCTTGAAAGACACAACATTCAGTTTTTATCTTAGCCTACAATGAATACTAACATGGGCTAGCCAATAATGTTCTGCAACCCAGTATGCTTAATGCAATAAGAATACCATTCCTTTAACATAGTGATGTTGACATTCAAAAGTAGAAGACCATGTTCAGTAAACCTCACCAATTTTTTAAACTTATAAATGGAATAGTTGCTCAGAGAGGGGGTTTATATGACCTGATAAGTCAGATACCTGACTTACCTAAGTCACTTAGTTACTGAGGTTATGGGAAATTGAAACAATGAGTGAATACAAGTAAAACATTGAAATCCATAGTTTTGCAGTAGAATACCTTATAATGTTGGCATTACATAATATAAGGTGGTACATATTGAAAAAGGATTTGAATTTTGATTATGTAATTGGGTAATGATCTTTGGAATCAGGTGTGAGTCAACAGTCTTGTACTGTATGTATATAAGCTCCTAAATGATCCTGGATGATTTGCTATCTATTCCTGTACTGATCTTAGCTCATTGGTGATAAACACTGTGATATGTCTCTTGACCCTTAGTGCATTCACAGTATAGTTACCCGTGTGCATTTCAACTTCAAGTACATTATATGCTGAGAAGGAGCTCCCATTTTTTCTGCTCATCCACATATATATGACTCTTGTAGCCAGCACGGTGGTCCCATAAACAATTTTTATTACAGAAAGAGTTGTAAGACTTTTGAAATTATGTAGGGCTGGTATTATACTATATGTTTAGATATAACTAATGCTAAGCAAGGTGTTCATGGTGGAGTAAAGAATAGGGATATATATTCCACACTATAGTAATTGTAAAGCGTGTTTTTTATTTTTTTAAAATAGCAAACATAGTATACTTACCTGCTCTGTGCAATGGTTTTACACAGAGCAGCCCCAATCCTGCTCTCCACTGCGTAATGTGGCACACCTGCATGCTCACTCCTGAGACAGCTAAGTGTGTCTATAAGACACACGCCCCACCACCTAATCCCTCCTCACGGGCTTTGATTGGCATAAGCGGGAGCCAATGGCCTCTGTATATCACTGGATCAAGATCGAGCTCAGGTAAGTATGGGGGGGCTGGCAGGGGAAGATGCATTTAAAAGGTTTTTTTTTTACCTTCATGCATAGACTGCATGAAGGTAAAAAAAACCTTCTGCCTTTACAACCACTTTAAAATTAAACAGAAAAAGTTGTTTTACACTCCACTAATATTTTAGTGCACCATTAATTGTGTTGAAAGAAGTTTTTCATGATTTTTTCCCCCCCAGATTCATAAAAGAATGATGCTTGCATGCCGTAACAGACGTTTACCAAAACTACTAACTTCCTCTCTAAGAGCATATCACAGTAATGTCTATTCATAGTTAAAGGATAAGTTCACCTTTAATGTGTAACATGTAACATGTTATGATCAGACTGGCCCCCGCTCCCCCACTTTGACGGCTAGTGAGGGATCGCCCTCGCTAGCTGTCAAATTTAATAAAAATGTAGCTGTGCAGGGCTCTGCCCGCCCTGCCACGTCACTCAATCGCTGTGAGAAATGAGAAACTACGGTTGTTGGCTTGTGGTTCTCAGTGAACTAACATGACGCTGTGGAGCAGTGGTGGTAGTTCTCTGAGTCTTCCTGTCAGTTTATATGCTTGCCTGTACATCCCGTATGGGCAAGCAGATGTACTAACAGATCTGCAGGAGACCTGCATGGCACCAGTGATCTGCTGATTGCTGGTGCAATGCTTTACAGACTCCTGCAACAAAAAATAATAAATGCAAATTTTTTTTTATCTGCAAAAAAAAAATGTGCATTTATTATTTTTGTACAAAGGTGAACTTATCCTATAACTCAGTCTACAAGAGCTAGGTAGATTAAGGGTTGGACAGATGTTTCCCTTGGAAAGATAGGTAGGGAGATGTTTACCCATCCTCTGATTTCTCTTTCAAATGCTGAGGGTTACCATTAAACTCTTATGGTGCTGACAGTGGTGTACAACATTGTTAGATACCTTCTGCTTGAGAGGAAATCTCTCTGTGCCAGATTTCATTATTGCCCTTTTTCACAGCAGAAACAACATGATAATAGTTAGCAATGCTCAAAACAAGGACCTGGGATCAGCCTAAATTCATGGCATAGACTTTCAGCTGCATAAAAGGATTTATTAGGTATATTATTGACTGCACATTGAAAAGAGGGATTTAATCAATCATGTGTATGATGATGCATCAGGTATCCTTTCAATAAAAATGTACATTTGCTGTTGTTGGTTGTATCATGCAATGTACATACAATGGCTTTGCATTATATTACTATAATCACAGAAAACATCAATCAAATAATAGGGGTATAATCCAGAGAAAAATGTGAGTAAATAGGCTTATAAAATTACATGCTAGTATTAAAAGCCTGAATAAGCTAGTGGGTTAATTGGAAATCGACTACAATATATGTATCCCGGTACTGTATGTAGGTCAGTGTTTACCAACATAATTTACCGACAGTGTACATGTAAAACACAAGGATAAAAAGAAACATCTTTTTGTTAAATAGTGGGAGGTTGCACCCTGTAACCAGTTTTATTGTTCTTCAAGTGCAGTAATTAGCCTAAAAAGATAAAACTTATCTTATGCTGTAAATATTTCTGCAACAGATAGAACAAAATAGACATTGCCATGTTTGTAGATCATGGCAGCATAAAGGTATTCATGCAAAGTCAAGTCAAAGCAGTGGGCAGGCTGTAGACATGCAAGTATTCACATATTTTAAAGTACAGTAGTTCTAAAGTCCAAGTTTTTTTCTATGCATTAAGGTAAAAAATATCCCACTACCTGTCCCCCCCCCCCCCCCTCCCCATCCCTAAATACTTACCTGACTCCTCAACCGATCCATCACTGTCCCATCTGCAGTCCCTCTCTCCTCTCTTCCTCTTCTCACAGGAGACACAGGCAACAGTGGGAGCCATAGGCTTCTGCTTCTATCAGTCAAATCCCCTGAGGAGGGAACAGGGGGCATGGCCAAGCTTCGCTGTGTATGTCTATGGCTGTACACAGCCCAGCTCTGGAGTAGTGGACACAGGAGTGCACAGGACTTGCTGAGGGGGCACTTGGAGGAATAAGGAGTGGAGAACATCAGTGGTGGACTCCAGAAGAGGAGGTCATGGACCGTTCTGTGTAATGCCATTGCACACAGCAGAGAAGTATAGCATTTTTTAATTTTAAATTAAAACAAATTATCTTTTTTTTTAATTCTTTATTTAGACATTGTGCATTTACAAAACAAGTGCCATCACTCCAATGTATAATTCATGTGAGAAAGAGCTCCACAAGGGACCACCATGAGTATGTAAGGGCACAATCTGTGAATACATTTTCAGTATCCAATAACATTAGACTAGGTACATTTTGTCTACATCAGAGACTGGTTAAATGCTAATTATACTGGAACAGCGGGGGTAATAATCCTAAAATAAACAATGCCTGAGTCAAGACATATTACTATAGACAACAACCTCGTTCCCATAAACAGTGTAAACAGAAAAATATTGTGAAAAATGACACTCAGGGAGAAAAATTGGGGGAGGGGGATACCCTGTGCAGTTCCCAGATGAGGACTTAAATAAAAGGAATAAAAGGAAAAAAAAATTAAAAAGGGG